CATACAACGAGTCCAATATATGACACTGTTTTTGATAAACTAATGCATCAATATCTGGTTGGATGGATGTAGTAGCAATTTTCAATGAAGTCTCAAGGTGCTCATAAGATATTTTGGTTCGTGTGTGTGCTTCATCCTTGAAAATACGACTTTTGCAATTTTTCCATAGTTTTTTTATTTTTCCCTTACAGCTTTCAGTGTTTGTAAAAGACATACATTTCTGAAAGCACATGACCAATAGAATAAAAAGAAGGTACTACTGATTTTTAAGGCCTCGTGATATTTGCGCAAATGTTTATCAAATCAATATTTTAACTAAAAATACACTAAAATCATTAGACAAACACAGCAAATTGGACAAATGTCCTGCTAAATTCCTAATAAATATAAAAGCTTAACCTGTATAGAGTTAATAAATAGCAAATATTTGTACATTTTAAATTGCTCCTTTTTGCAAAATAGTGAAAATGAATGTACGCAAAACTGTAAATAATCAAATTTCTCTAAAAAATAAGGAGTTTTCATTTTTCACTTACAGCTTTCAGAGTTTGTAAAAGAACCCTCAACCCATATATATGTTCTGAATGTATAGGACCAGTAGAATACAAGAAGGTGCTACTGATTTTTAAGGCCCTGCGATATTTGCAGAAATGCTTATCAAACCACTATTTTCACTAAAAAACACTAAAATCCTTATTTGCACACATAGACACAACATAACTTACAAACTTTCTGCTAAATTCCTACTAAGGCCTTGTTCACATGGGGTGTACTAAAGCGTACTCCCACGGAAGGCCATATGGAAGGCCAGGTTTACCTGCATGGGGATGCACAGGTGTTCTGCGAATTCCTGTGCAGGCAGTCCTATTCATGCCAGTTGGTACACAGAAGCTACAAGGACAGATCTGACATTTGTGCGGGTGTAGGTGCATAGGCCCAATCGCAGACAGTGTGAGTTCAGAGATATATACCCACAGAGATGTCAATTTAGAAGCAGTGGCTGTGTCCAAATTGACACGGATGGGACTGCCTGCACAGGAATGCACGGAACACCTGTGCATTCCTGTGCAGTCGCTGTGTCCCAATTGACATCAGTGAGACTGCATGCATGGGGACGCACGGAACACAGGTGCATCCCTGTGCAGCTAAACATGGCCCTGCTGCAGTATGTTATGTGTGAACAAGGCCTTAGGCCTCATTTACTCTTGCAGTTGGGAGGTGGCAAAAATGCGCGGTTGAGCTACATTTCTGCCGTCTGCCAACTGCCCCCCCCTTAAGCTGCAATCAATAGGCAGGGTGTTTACATGCTGTGGCCACGATACTTTGCTTTGCTCCCACAGAAAAATTGACCCAACTTGTAGTGATGCAGCCTTCTGAACACTACACATTCAAGTCAAAGGGGAAGCACCACAAATGCCCTGCAATTGCGTGCAATGCACACAGTTGCGGCACATTTGTTGGCAAAAAACGGGGTCAAAACAGGTGGTGAGGAGGCGTTGGCTTGCTTCCTCACCCTATCTCTCTCCAAATGCGGATCGGGCCCCAGAGGCAAGGGAGATTAGATGCATGTCTAAATCTACCCTAACGAGGTTTTTTTTTTATTATTATTATTACAGGACATTTTTATTGTTAATATTTTCACCTTTTTTTTTTGGGGGGGGGGCTTTATAGAGACATCAGGGGTATACACAAACCCCTAATTTCCCTTTTTTGAATGCCAGCCAGCAGCTCTGCATGGGGGGGGGGGGGGGGACAAAGAGGGTGGGGGGGTCACAGCTGCAGGAATTAACCTTTTAGGCTGTGCAATTGCCAATCAGAGAGGCAGAGGAGTGAAGTTGGTAATTGCAGAGCTACAGGGGATTGGCGCTGGTGGGGGGCAGGGGAGTAATTGGCTAGTACTTGGGGGGCACAGAAAGGAGGCGGGGGGGTTACAGCAGCAGGTATTAACATTTTAGGTTGTGGTTCTCATGCAATTGCTGGTAAAAGAGGCAGAGGAGGGAAGCTGGTAATTGCAGAACTACAGGGAATCGGTACTGGTGGGGGGGGGGGGGGGGGAATTGGCCAGTGCTGGGGGGGGGGGCACAGGAAGGGAGCACTAAGGATCTTAAAGCTAGAGATAGGGAAGTGAAGGGGAGGAAGCAACGAGTGAGAGGCAGAGAAGGAGCGGTAGATGTAGGGGGTCACATTTTAGGTTAATAGCTCTGACTTGTTAGCCACTGATCAGAGATGATGATTTGTTCAGCAGAGTCTGCTGAACAGTTCTGATATAAGTTCATAGTAACTGAAGTGACCATGAGCTTATGGCAGAAGGAAGAATGCAGGTTCGTATGCTGTATAGACCTGGCCAGCTGGAAGCAGTTCTGTAGGTCCATACGCCGCATGGACCTGGCAGCGAATGGGTTAAAGCTGAAAACTTGATGTAGGACAAATCAGTAGATCATCTTTAATGGACCCCTCTTCAGCAGTGTATTATAACTTTTCCTTCACTCCCCCATTACTCAGATATTAGGAATTAAGAAAATCCCCAGGGCCTCCAGGTATAGGTGAGCTTTTGATTTGCTCATCATCTTGCTGTTTCTCATGATTGGCCCAGTGCTATCACATGGGGGTCCTCAGCCTTGTGTATGGACAGTGTAGTATCACTTTAAGTTTACTTTCAGTGGATCGCCAGAACAATAAGGAAGCCAAGCAGAGGTAAGTATAGGCAGAAGTGGAGGAATGTGTTAAAGCACAACTCCAGGAAACTTAAAAATTCTCCCCTGCAGCGGGGCTGTTCCCACACTGAGAGGAATAACTGCTCATTTAGACTATGGAAGAATTTTTGCACTCTAACTTATCTGATCCTCCAATCCCCCAGAAGATGGCACTATCCACATTCCCGTGGTGAGCTGCCTCTTGGCATTATCACGTCCAATGCAGGGCTATAAATCCTGCATTGGTCTTAATTATGTAAGGAGCTTAGACCACTAGAGCATGGGGCGAAGATGGTAGATATTTTTTATGTCCCCTAGGCCTATACAAGTAATTAACCCTTTGCAGTGCAGACACAGCCCCACTGCAAGGGATATTTTTTAGGTTTCTCAGAGTTGGGCTTTGCAAAAGAGCTATTGCTTTGTCCTGCATTGACAAAGTACAGGTTCACTTTAAAAAGTCAACAGCAAAAACTCTGACTCTCTCACAAAATGGTCATTGTTTGTAAGAAGATCTACTTGCCCAACAAAAAATACATGTATAAAAATGCCAGAAAAAGCACTTGTGTGGCATTGCCCTATATGTAACATTACATATATTGACCTGTCCACTATCTTGCTAGTACAAGGATAAGACATAAGGCAGTCATCAAACAATCCTTCAAGCAGTAATCATCTCTATGTTCTGTGTAGGCCGTAGTTCTGAGAACTGAACTCAGAGATATAATATGCTGGAAAATAAAAAAACAATAAACGTTTCCCCTATTAGCTGTAAACATTTATCACTGACAAATGTTTGATGGCTAAAAGTCGCAGACAAGTCACAAACTGCAATAAAAAAGATATCCAGTTTATAATCACCATGGGAATTTGCCGTAGGCTTTGCTCCTTGTTCCTATGTACTGTATAAATGTAAGCAAAATGCTTTAAACGCAGAAATTAGGAATCAATGGTAGGACTTGGAAAGTTTCCGAATAGATGAGTAGCCACTTGTATTAAAGTTTTGTCAGGTTAATGTTAATAACTGAATGGTATGAAATCTACTGTTTAAGTGTGAAATGCTGTTAGGGTTCTCCTATTACCTTTGTAAATTGGAATGACGAGCCTTAATCCCTTTCATGTTTTTAAGTACTGATGGGATTTTACTAAATTATTACTAAATTATTAGGATGAAACTATAACTCCATGGGTTTGATAAATAACTGAGACTTTCCATGACAAGATACAATAGCACACCTGGCTTTGGGTAACAGAGTTTTTATTTTCAGTTACCCTTGGAAACCAATAGGAATTTACTCTGAATATATTATTTTATAATGCATAACTGGTATCATTTAGTTGTAATTATTAATGGTTTGCTTTAGTAAAATACTGGCAAAGTGTACCCTTCTTTTATTGGGGTATAATGCCTAATTCTTAATAAATTCCCTATGAATGTAATGCACTTATTTCACCTGCCTGTCAGTGTAATGTATAGCACCCCATACATCGTAACCATTACTAGTAAAAATAACAAATAAAAAAAAAATCCTAGTATATATACAACCATTTGTAAACGCTGTAAATAAACTAATTAATTTACACGTATTGGGATTTTTTTTTTCTAGCAAAGGCATGTAGCAGAATACATTTTGGCCTAAATTTATGTCAAAATGTGATTTTTAAAAATGTTTTAAAACCTTCTTTTCCTCAGTTTTACACTGTTCAGTTTACTGGACAGACCCTAGAAGTCTGATTATGTCAGTATTTCTGTGCTCAAAGTGGTACATTGTTTTGCATGGAAATATGTTGTTTTTTTATTGTAGGCCTGTAATTCTTAGGAATAACTCACTGAAATCTGTCCGAACAAGAGTCTAGTAAACATCCAGGGTATGATAAAATTGGAAGCACAAAATCATAAATTATAATTTAATAAATAGTCATAAAAAATAATAATATAATAATAATAAATTTAATTCAATAATATAATCAAACCAAAAACTGAAATTTGAAATATAGCGTCAAGTTTGCACATCACTGAGCTTAGTCGCAAAATCATTTTCAGTGTCTGATGATGAATTTCCCCACAAATCATTATCACTCAATTCTGCAAGTGGTTCTGATTTACTATCGATGCTCTCTAGCTGATCTAAAACCGATTTTGACCTAAAGGGACGCTTTTTGGATGCCATGGACATTTCTCAGTTTCCCGGCAGAAAGAACAGTAAAAATGCAGGCAGGGCACAGGACAAAGCACTAGGGACAAAATGTATGTGAAATGGGTTTATACAGTAATGTTTTACTATGTGATTTTAGTGTATTGAGTGAATGTCACTTTTAAAATTTTTTAATTACCCGCCGGTTCCGTCCCCCGTACGTCTTGAAGTCGCAGGGACTGGAACCCGGAAGACAGATGCCGGCATCGGCCGAAGGAGATGGCCGGGGACACTGAAGGGGGGACATCGCGGGAGCGCAGGACAAGGTAAGTGCAAAAGGGTAATCCCGAGTGTAGCTCGGGGTTACCGCTTTTTGTACTGAAACTTTACCCCGAGCTACACTCGGGAATACCGCCAGGGAGGTTAATAGCAAAAATTCAAAAATATTGTTTTTTTCTCAAAATTGTTGGTCTTTTTATAGTGCAAAAAATAAAAAACGCACAGGTGATCAAAATACCACCGAACGAAAGCTCTATTCGTGAGAAAAAAAGGACTTAAGTTTAATTTGGGTGCAGCGTTGCATGACCACACAATTGTCAGTTAAAGTAACGCAGCGACGTAACGCAAGAAATGGCCTGGTCAGGAAGAGGGGTAAATCCTCAGGAGAGCAAGTGGTTAAATCGGAAGTCTGGTTTTTGTTAGAGTCCATCTGCTTATTTCTGTCTAGGGAACAGGAAAAGAAGAGCACATTTAATTACCTGATCCTCTGCTCCCCTAGCAGACGGCGCTCTCCTACTCTCCAATAGTGGATTATCCCTTGGATCCTCATGCCTAATGTATGGCTATGGTCCCTGCATCGGTTTTGAAGCCAGGTGGCTCTTAGACTACCAGAGTGCAGGGGAAGATTCTGCAAAGACAGGTTTATCTGCAGTCTTTTTTCTCTAAATCCATTCAAAGTGCTGAATTTATAAAGCCTGTATGAGAGTTCAGATAAAAGGGGATGAAGAGCTGAAATTACACTCTATAAAGCTCAGTGAGGAGAGCTTTGAGAGCTGATTGGATGGAAGGGACACCCCCCTCCCCCTCCACACTTCACACTGGAACAGAGCTGAGACTGTCAATCTGCTGAAGCTCCCTCCCCATCACCATTTTTGTCTTGGTGTCAGGAAAACTTGACAGAAATGAAATGCTGATAGTGGAGGAATTAAGTCGCAGACGGAAATGACACTTAGTGCTGTTAATTGAGACAAGGACACACTATAGAAGGATATGCTTTGTTCATATTTCATGTCTGAGGTTTACAATCACTTTTAAGAAAAAAGATTCTTTCAACTAAGGTAGTCCTTAATACTTTAAGAAAGTTTTGAATGGTCTCTGACACAAATAACCACTATTTTAATGGAATAAATGTCACATTTTCACAATTCCAAATCAAAACTGTATTGGCTTGACATTTGAAGATAAACCTAATATTTGTATTGTATGTTTTGTTGAAAAATATAACATTTTGTAGGATTCTTTGCCGATAGTCCCGCAAAAAGTTTCACTGTCTCTGTCAATCTCAGAACTGAGCAGATGGATAGATTTCAGTTTGTAAGGAAAGAAAGTTTATTTTTTTATTATGTTAGTGAACTGCATCTCTTTTATCAGTACCATGGACAGAGCACAATCTGAATGGAACTGCTTTGCAGAACTAGTCTTTTCATTTAGTTTTCTAATTTCCTGTTTCCTATTTCTCTCGCAAATAAAAATAAGGAAGGTATTGGTGCCCTATAGCTTGACCAGGACATGTTCAATTACAAATGTATGACCTTGTCCAATGCAAGTTTCCTAAAGAAAAACATAACTGTATCTGAGCACCACAAATTGAAAATGCTATTTAATTCATGTGTAATATTCAAAGCAAACTCACCAATCCATTCATGTCTTCATGCTTTATTTAGTTTAGAAATCACTTTAAAAATGCCCCCCTCCCTATTCTTTATATTTATTATTATTATATTATTACACAGGATTTATACAGTGCCAACAGTTTACGCAGCGCTTTACAAAATGAAGGTAGACATTGCAGTTACAATACAATTTGGTACAAGAGGAAACAGAGGGCCCTGCTCGTTAGAGCTTACATTTAATGTTTGGTGCTAATAAAAAAATATAAAGTTAATAAAATCAGCACAACATAGTTTTAAAACTAGATATTTAAAAAGTATTCTTATTGCTTGGAAATGACAAAAAATAGGGCTATGTTTCATTTTGTAAAAATGTATGTTTTTATAACCTGTATCACATTTAAAGGTGTTCTCAGAAAGCGGATACCCATCTTTATCTAAGAAATGAAATACTGTATCCCTGAATAGTATATGGCTTAAAAGCAATCAAGTCTACTAATTCATTATTTCAGTGTGTACTATTACTGTAAATCATGAAGGGGCTGGTGAGGAGCTCCTTGCTTTGTGACCACCATTTATTGCAAAGATACAGTACTAACCCATATTTTAGATTTATTGTTCCCCCCTCAATTAATTTCCATCTTCAGACTGTGATATGTAAAATTCAGCTCACACTTCAGTCATTGTCCTGCCACTATAGCTTATACAATATATACTGTATTTGTGGGTAGCTGGTTTTCCTTGGGACAAAAGGGAAAGGGGGATGTGTCTTCTGCATTTTTTTGTTTTGGCAATAAATGCACATAATAATAATAAGGTTTTAATTACTATAAAGAAATTAAAGCAGGACTCCATCTTTGTATAAAAAAATTATAATAGCAGAGCTGCTGTATGTCCACAATCAGGGTCTAAACAACCATTAAGGCTTCATAACCACACATGACTTCTGGCTGCATGACAGAAAGCTTGCACAGCCCCTTCCTCCAATCTTCAGTGTCATTTGTCTTCCCCTCTGTTGTCCAAAAGACTACAGAGAAGGCATAGGGACATTCACCACGCTGATACCGGGTGGGATTTATTGCTTACAATTTGCAGAGAATCCTGCGCAGTTATGCCACTGCCAATCCCTTCTAGACTACCACCAGTACTCCTCTTTTACCACCCACAGTGCCTACCAGAAAGGCCCTGAAACTACAAGAGTCCCAAAGAATCATGGCACATGCAGTTTCTGGAAACTACATGCCCAGTAAATCAGAAATACCTCCAGGAGTACTTGCAAATAGATTTGGAGAGAAAGAGTGACATCAAAAGTATTAAAAAAATATATATCTGGAAAAAGAAGCATATAATTAAAAAAAAAAGAAAAGGTACGGTTGAGGTGGCAGCTTCTATATATGGCATACTGGTTAGATGATCCAGGAGTGAGCATTAAGAAACAGTGAGTATGGCAGAGGCAAAATGCAATCTTTGGCAGCCCTTTGGAGAATGGGTACATTGATAGTATGCCTAGTAAGGATGTAACACAGCTGGGTTTCATTCACGGAGGTTAGGAGAAAGATATCAAAAGTGCCGAATTTGAATCTCATTGAAGCCAATGTGGGCTGAATCTGTCAATTGTCTCTATTTTTAAGACTAATAGCCAAGGCTTTGGCAAGAAATTTGGGGGGCTGAGCACTGTCCCAGGGGACTTGTAACAGTGCATTTTTTTTTTAAAATACTGTTTTACAAAGAAAGTGCAGTATTAAAAATGCATGATTTCACTTGTGGGGCCCTAAACCTGCCTGTGAAATGACGCACCTCTACCATCTAAACAATGTAGTACAGCAAAAGTGACAATTAGAAAGAAAAAAAATTAAAATGCTGTGAAATCACAAGCTTTGTTTAATTTGTAAATAATTCAATGGGGACCCCTTATCCCCCACCCAAAATATGTTCTACACCCTCATCAAGGAGGATTTTTTTTGGGGGGGTCCACATTGCATTATTTACAAAATAAAGGAAGCTTGCAGGGAAAAGTGAATTAACAGCTAGGATGAGCAAAACATGCCTGGATTTAGTTCGCTGGACCATGCAGCTTACAAGTTTTGAATGTTAATCCAAAACCAAATAAATCAATGACCGCCAAATCTTTAAAATAAATTCTGACCATTTTCAAGGCTATTAGGCAAGGACTTGTTAAACATATGGAATAGAAGGATGGACCAGTTAGAAATACTGTTTTGCTAGGAACACTGATTTTAAGATTATTTGAGGTGAAACATTACAGATACCCAATTCCTATTAAAAAACATGCCTGTGGGATGCCTTTAAACTGCCTGTGAAGTGGTGCATCTATACAATGTAAACGCTGTACTACAGCAACACAGAAAATACCTTTACAAAGAAAAAATACAGTTTAAATTTTCAGCAAATGGCATTTTCCTGTCAGCTTGGTTTTCTTACTTGGCTATGAATTTTGAGGAACCTTTGAATGGGTCTCTAAGCTGGCAGGGAAAAATGATGTGGATTTTTGTATTTGTGTATTGATTTTAAGGGGAAACACTCTATAAAAAACCCCCCAAATTCATACCACATTACTACATCCATAGGGCCTGGCATGAGGGATCCCCCCCAAAATCTTTATCAAATCCTCATCCCAACATGCAGCATGGCTGACTAGGAAAGAGAGGGTGAGCATGCTGCCCCCTCCTCTTGAACCATACCAGTCCACATGCCTTCAACATGGGCTGAGTGCCCCTTGGCAAATTATGACGCCCTCAGTCAATCACAATGCCCACTGAAAAAGAAAAAAAAAACATTCTGACACCCCACATGTCTGCTCCTGACAGAGACTTGTGCTGAATGATGGAACCCTGGCTGACAGCTTAATTGTGAACAAAGGGGCAGGGATGTGGCTGATGTCATTGATTAGACATGGTCATGGCTATATGTGGTCAGTGATGTCAGCCACAATCCTTTCAACTTTGTGTACATTCAGCTGTCAGGTGGAAATCCGCAACCAATAGCTCAATGGCCAGGCAGGGATATTTCACAGTTGCTAGAAAGCTGGCAGATGCTGGTTCTCTAATAACCAGGCTAAGTGGGAAGCTTTCACATTTATAAGTGGTTGTAATATCTCTGCTAAATGTTTCCTTTCTTGCTGCAAATGGGGGTTAGGCTTGGCAACTGTACGCTGAATGCCAAACAGGCAAAGATTGGACCAAAATGAACTTCGGGCTGAACCCAAAGCTCAGCCCTAGATGGTCCAGAGTTATATTTTTCTTATAAGCTTTTGGAGAGTTTTAGATAAACAAGGTATTATACAATCCTTTATCCAATATTAGGCAGCAACTTTACAAAATACAACCAATTTGAATTATTATATAGTTTAGCTAATTATTTTGGATCACTGCGCTTCTCACACTTTTAACCTCCCTAGCGGTATGATTACTTCAGATTTTTGGTGCTGAAAGCGGTACCATTATTTTGCATGGAAATAAGTCGTTTTTTTTTTTTTATTGTAGGCTGTAGTTTTTAGGAATAACTCACTGAAATCTGTCCGAACAAGAGTCTAGTAAACATCCCGGGTATGATAAAATTAGAAACACGAAATCATAAATTATAATTTAATAAATAATCATAAAAAATAATAATATAATAATAATACATTTAATTCAATAATATAATCAAACCGAAAACACTGAAATTTGAAATATAGCGCCAAGTTCGCACATTGCTGAGCAAAGTTGCAAAATCGTTTTCAGTGTCTGATGACGAATTTCCCCACAAATCATTATCACTCAATTCTGCAAGTGGTTCTGATTTACTATCGCTGTTCTCTAGCTGATCTAAACCCGCTTTTGACCTAAAGGGACACTTTTTGGACGCCATGGACATTTCTCAGTTTCCAGGCAGAAAGAACAGACAAAACTCAGGCAGGGCACAGGACAAAGCACTCGGGACAATATGTATGTGAAATGGGTTGAAACAGCAATGTTTTACTATGAAAAATGTGTTTTGAAAAAAATGACATTTTTTAAAATTTTCAAATTTCCCGCCGCCGCCGTCGGCCCCCGTACGTCCCGACGTCACAGGGACCAGAACACAGAAGCCGGATGCCAGCATTGGCCGGAGGAGATGGCCGGGGATGCTGCAGGGGACACATCGCGGGAGCGAAGGACAAGGCAAGTGCTGCAAGGACTCCCTATGCAGCGCTGCATGGTAAGCCCGAGTGTAGCTCGGGGTTACCGCTTTTGGCACTGACATTTTACCCCGAGCTACACTCGGGAATACCGCTAGGGAGGTTAAAGGATACCTTTAACTAATATATAAACTTTTGTTAGGATTAAAGGCCAAGCACCTAATGAAACCTAGAGATACCTGCAGCATAGTTACATAGTTAGGGGAAGATTTACTAAAACTGGAGCACTCAAAATCTGGTGCAGCTGTGCATGGTAGCCAATCAGCTTGTAACTTCAGCTCGTTCAATTAAGCTTTGACAATAAAACTTGGAAGCTGACTGGTTTCTATGCAGAGCTGCACCAGATTATTTTACTCTCCAATTCTAGCAAATCTCCCCCACAATCTGGTTGAAAATAAGACACAAATCCATCTAGTTCAACAAAAAGAAAAAACACACACACACACACACACACACACACACACACACACACACACACACAGAAAAGCCCCAAATATACACTATCCTATACCCACAGTTGATCCAGAGAAAGGTAAATATTAAGTAAAGTGTAGAACTACCCCCTTAGGAGTTGCTGAAGATTTGGATCTCCTATTAGTCCTGCACAACCAGGCAACATGCATTTTCTTCAGACTTGCATTCCAGCTTGCACACAGTAGACAGTAAACAGACCTTGAGCTTTTTTATTAGTTTTATTAGGGGTATTTGAACTTGGATGGGGTAAGGGGTGCATGGGATGAACAAGGAACACTAAACTGAGGACAACCTCCTGGCAACTATGTACAAATATGTTTTACAGCAAAAAAGTTCTTTCTTGGAGAGCTCTCCAGCCTCTCCTGGTATACCACCCTAGACACCAGATGAATCCTCTTCTCATTCAGCTATCTGGAGGAAATACCTGGGCAAGGGGATTCAGTGCCTGCCACTTTAAGTTGAAACAGTCCTGGGTAAAGAGCTAGTCAGGTTTCCCACCAGAATGCCCCTTTCCCCTTAACTGGCACAGGGGGTGTAGGATTACTCACTCTTCCTCTCCAGTGTGCATATTGGTTTGGTGGCTGCCTTCAGGCCTACCGCTGGGCTGGTTTCTTCCTGGCTGCGCAGGTGGTCTTCTCTCAGGGGACTCCTGAGATAGAGTGATCCTCCTTTCCAGCTCCTCTTCTTGGAGGTAGACCCCTTTCCACTTAGCCCCCTCCCAGGCCTCTGCATCTCAGCCTTCGCTACATCTTCCACTCAAACTCTCACTCTTAAGTGCTGTCCCAACCCTATGCCGAGCCTCTTGCCTGGGGATTGGTCAGAATCCCTCAAAAGTGCAGATCAGCATCTCCTCACCCCACCCACTGAGTTCTAGAGACTTTTTCAAGTCTCTAGATCAGGGGGACGTATCATAGAGCTGATCTGTAGAGCCTCTCAGCCCTTACCCGAATTTCATCCCTCTGACTATCACCTAGGCCAGGGGTGGGCAAACTGCGGGCTATCCAGCTGTTGTGGAACTACATTTCCCATGAGGCATTGCATCATTACAAAACTGACAGTTACAGCTATGACTTGCAGAGGCATGATAGAACTTGTAGTCCTGCAACAGCTGGAGAGCCGCAGTTTGCCCACCCCTGACCTGGGCTGCTACTCAGCCTTCTAACTAAACAAAATAATTAGCTAGCTCCCCCTATCTAACTAGGAGGGTGCAACATTAGCATGATCCAATTTGCAGCAGCAGGGAAAAAATAATCTTCCTAATTTCCCGGGAGGTAATTGGATATTCTCTGGATCAACTACCCATGGTGCTAATACCTATACTTATAAATATCTTTATTCAGCCTCCACGCACTGCTATTAAAGTAGAACTATAGGCAAACTTTTCTTTTCTTTTTGAATAGAGCAAGGGAGGGTTATAGCCTCTGTCAGATTTTTTTTCACCATTCGTGTCCCACTTCAGACATTTCCCTTCTTTTTGTAGGACGTGAGAGGAAACCTCTGCACATTAACCGTTTCAATACCGTGCAATTTTACACCTTCCTGCCCAGGCCAGTTTTCAGGTTTTCAGCACTCTCACACTTTGAATGACAATTGCGCGGTCATACAACATTGTACCCAAACTAAAATTTTATCATTCTCTTCACACAACTAGAGCTTTCGTTTGGTGGTATTTAATCACCGCTGGGGTTTTTATTTTTTTTGCTAAATTAACAAAAAAAGACCAAAAATTTTGAAAAAAAAACACATTTTTCTTTGTTTCTCTCTTATAAAAGTTTACAAATAAATAATTGTTCTTCATAAATTTAGGCCGAGATGTATTCTACTACATGTCTTTGGTGAAAATAACCCAAATTAGGATGTATTTTTTAGTTTGTAGGAAAGTTATAGAGTTCACAAACTATGGTATATATCTGAATATTGATCAATCCTGAAGTACTGACAGCCAATCTAATATCTTGAGGTCCAAGAATGTCAGAATAGTACAGATATCCCCAAATGACCCCTTTTTGCAGAGTAGACAGTCCGACGTACTTCATAAGAGGCATGGCGAGTTTTTTGAAGTTGTATTTTTTTGTCATAATTTTTCGGAAAATGAAAAAATTAAAAAAATTATTTTCACTATTTTTTTTTTTTTACATACTGTCACCAGTGCAGTACAGCGTCATCATTTAACTGGCATGGCGGTGAACAGCGACACTGACTGGTGACAGTATGAAAAAAAAAATATATTTTTTTTTTATTATTTTTTTTTAATTTTTTTATTATATTTAATTTTTTATTACATTTTTTTTTATTTTTTTTTAAGATTTTTTTTTCATATTTTACTATGACCAAAATAGTACAATGTTACCATAGTAACACTGTACTACTTTGGGGAAGTGATCAGTATTTTTTTTTTTTTTTTTTTTTTTTTTTTACACAATTTGCTTATAGCAAAGAATTACTTTGCTATAAGCAAGCATTTACCTGAATGAAATCGATTCATTCAGCTTTTTTTTTTTTTTTTTTTTTTTTTTTGTGCTTGGCTGTGATTTGGTCACAGCTAATCACATGACATGTGCATGTGATTAGCTGTGACCATTCACAGCTAGGCACTAGTATACAATGGATGGCATCATGAATGAAGCCATCCATTGTATACAACTGTCATGTGACCTGCTGTTGATTGGTCACAGCAGGTCACATGGTACCGGCAACGGGAGCCGGTACTCGGATCTGTCATCGGCCGTGTCCGAGGTGCACGGGCGGTGACAGATCGCACTGCTGCGTCGCTCTGCAACCGCGCAAACCGCGCATGTGCGGGAGCACGCCAAATGGCGTGCACCTGGAAAGCTGCAGCGCTTTTCAAGCCGCCAAACGGCCATTGGCCGGGCGGCAAATGGTTAAGGGACCCAAGGTCACCAGAACTAGTGTATCCATTGGAAGATTTCCCCTCTATTACTTTTCTGGGGACAACCCAAAATTCTGGATTTTACTGATAATTGTAAACAGAACAAATAGAGAGGGTGAATCTTCTTAAGGGGGCATGGGCAGCAATAAAAATTGACAGAGGTTCTAATTTCTCTTGAATGTATCCAAAACTGAAAAAAGCTTTTCCTTTAATTATACTTTAAACCCCAATTACAAATCTGTCTCAATGTGCAAAGCTCTGACAATTCAAAACCAGGAGGTGCCAACCAAGGACCTTCATCGCAGGATCACAAGGTATTATTCTAATGAAAGCTGTTGAGTCAAAAATATTGAAAATGATATTAACTTGTTAATGCCTGCATGAGAATTAAAGTGTTACTAAACCCAGGACCCTGCATTCACTATATCTTTCCTCCCCCAGTACACAGAACATGGAAATTTATTTTAGTAAGTATAAACTGCTAAATCCCTTTTCTTATCGTCAGTATATAGCAGTCTTGTGACCTCTATCAGTGTCCAGCTATGCAGTGGTTAATCTTGGAAGAGTAGTTTTCATTCTCCTCTGACTGTCCTATGAGGCTGCATAACCCTTGACCCTCTACTGATTAACCCTGTGCTGATCACATTCACCCTCTCCAAAAAAAAAAAAACCTTGTCTTGCAATAAACACCAAACTGAGCATGTGCAGAATGACTCCTAGAGCTCTGTTCTATTACCAGATGGATAAGGGACTATGGGAGAAGGGGAGGATCAGAGAAGACATTCACGGCCTCAGCTGTCAATCACCAGGTCCTGGCCGGTGATTACTCTCCGGCACCCGGTGATTGCCGAGTATTACCGATAGGGGGAGAGAACTGTATGTAAACAATACAGTTTTCTCCCCTGTCAACTCCTGGACACTGCTTTGTATGGCTCTGCATACCAGAGCCATACAAAACAGTGTGCTTTCAGTGAACAGTATTGGTGTTTACTCACCATGGACCAATAGGTCGGTACCTGACAAACCTGCTATCAGATATAGAAGGGTTTCATCCATAGGGGACAAGATCGTTCATAGTGAATATTTGGGAGACACTAGAGGCGGTCCATGCAAATGAATGGGGAACAATGGGTCTTGTGCCTATTGTTCCTTCATGGGCATCAGACCTCACATTAGGCTCCCCAATGAGACGATCTTTCATCCCAGACACTATTTCAACTGCAAAACGTCAGGGGTTGCATACCTCCTTACCTGTGAATGTGGTTTATTATTATTTGGGTAAGACTAAACTAGAGTTTTGGAAACATATATATCAACATATAGCCACTATATGTAAAAAAAAGACCCGGATTTTTCATTATGGCATCATGCTTCTTTGGTTCATGGTACATCTACCCCCAATATATGGTTTTTGGCGTTGGACAGGATACATTTCAGGTTCAGAGGGGGTGATTTCAACAAATCCCTCCTCCAACGTGAGCTGTGGTGGATCTACACCCTTAACGCCATTGAACCCCCCCGGCCTCAATGAGTCGTTTAACCTAAGACCATTCCTTGAAGGTTTCAGATCAGGTGGATGTGAATTGAATATGTAATATCCTATATGAATATGATGTCTCATAATGCTTTCTATAGGTGTTAGCTCAGTATATTATGTCTGCTTGGTTCTTTCTACCTATATGTATTTACCATGGGGTAAATTTTTTTATTTTTGTGAATGTCCATATATTTCTGTATACAAACTA